CGGGTTCAAGCAATTCTCCCACTTCAGCCTCCCAAGTAGCTGGGACTATAGGCATGCACCACCTGTAATCCCAGCTAATTTTGTATTTTTAGGAGAGTCGGGGCTTCTCCATGTTGGTCAGGCTGGTCTCGAACTCCCGACCTCAAGTGGTCAGCCCACCTCCCAAAGTGCTGAGATTACAGGCGTGAGCCACCGCACCCGGCCTTATTTATTTATTTTTATTTTGTTTACTCCTCACATTTCTATTCCAAGAATTCCCGTCTGGTTGAGGAGGGGACTGGGTCTCTCTATCCAGTTTCCTGGGGTGAGGGACAGGCTAGGAATGAGGGCATCTTGTCCCTCTGACGGGTCAGGGGCACAGCTCCTTCTGGCTGGCGATGGGAGAGAGATTCCTGCTGGAGGCATCACAGAAAGGGCTGTACCGGCCATGTGGGAGTCCTTGAAGTTGTTGCAGCTGTTTGGGCTGAGGAGGACCCCCTGGGCAGACTTAGGCCGGTTGCTATGACAGCTGAACCTTCTTTCTCTCTCCAGGTGGTGGGGTTTCTCTGCACCCTCCCTGTAACCCTTCTGGTTATAAAACTGAAGCCAGATTACCTGGGTTCAGAAACCAGCCCTAGCTCTAATTTGTGTGTGCCCTAAGGCAAGTTGCTTAACCTCTCTGTTTCTTGGATTCCCTCATCTATAAACTAGGAATAAGCGTAGTAACTGCCCCATAGGGTTATTGTGAGGATTAAATGAGTCAATGTGTGTGAAATCACAGAACAGTGCGTGGCATATAACAGATACTGTTATTAGTAGAAATATTAAATCTAAACTCAATAGTTTAGAATAATTACAATAACTAGTTGAATAGCTGATTAACTAGCTGAATAATAGTTTAGAATAACCCCGAATAACTAGCTGACATTCAGGCCCCTCAGTCCTCCCCCACCTCATTCTACTAGTGACCCTCTCAAGCCTCCCTAAGTAAACAGGTGGCTCTGCAGAGTCCACCCCCACCCATGCAGCAGGACCTGGAATTCATCTTTCTCTCCCTGGCTTCTGATGGGGTCCCCTACCTTTCCACCCCTCCCCTTTCCCTACTGCCCAGAGCTAAGTCCCAGGATCCAGCCAGCACAGGCTCTTAGGTTTCCTGAATACATTGGATATGTGGGTTCTGGGGCTTAAGGGGATTTGGGGTGAGTCTCGAGGTTGTGAGTGATGGGGGGCCTGGCGGGTTCAGGGTGCTCACAGTTTACAGAGCCCTGGCCCACATGGAGGATGGGCCAGGGCGGGGGCGGGCATGTGGGTGGTTTACAGGCTGCTGTGGGGCCTGGAGGTGCTGGAACAGGAAGTGGGATAGAAGGGCGGGTGACGCTGAGCCAGGCTGCTGGCCAGGCACCTTCTCAGCTGCTTCCTCGACAGCTCCCTTTTTGTAATTCCTGGGGCAGTTCCTGCCCCACATTAGCCCCGTTGTCAGGGTTCTGGTTAGTATCAATTTGGGGAAGGTGAAGTGATGCCCTTCCTGGGTTAGGGGCTCTCCTTGTCCGCTGAGGGATCCTTAGCAGGGTGGCATTGATGCTGGGATGAGAGTGAGGGTGGAGGTTCCCGGTTGGGGATCTGGACACTGGAAAGGAGGATCTGCCAGGGAGAGCTGAAGAAGCACAGCCCTGCGCCTCTGCTACTCCTCTCTGTGCTCCTCAGGGTACCTTTGGCAGCTGTGTGACCTTGTGAGCCTCAGTTTTCCTCTCTGAATAACGGGCATCATTACCTACCTTCTCTGCTTTAGTGGTTTTTTTGAGACAGGGCCTGCTCTGTCATCCAGGCTGGAGTGCAATGGCGCCATCTCTGCTCACTGCAACCTCTGCCTCCAGAGTTCAGTGATCGTGTCTCAGCCTCCTGAGTATCTCGGACTGCAGGAGTGTGCTGCCATGCCCTGCTAATTTTTTTTTTGAGACAGTCTCACTATGTCACCCAGGTTTCAGTGCAGTGGCTTGATCTTGGCTCACTGCAACCTCCGCCTCCTGGGTTCAAGCAATTTTCCTGCCTCAGCCTCCCGAGTAGCTGGGACTACAGATGCACACCAGCATACCAGCTAACTTTTCAATATATTTTTAGTAGAGGCAGGATTTCACCATGTTGGTCAGGCTGGTCTTGCACTCCTGACCTTAAATGATCCACCTGGCCCAGCCAAATTTTTTTGTATTTTTAATAGAGACAGGGTTTTGCCATGTTGGCCAGGCTGGTCTCGAACTCCTGGCCTCAAGTGATCCTCCCTAAGTGCTGGGATTATAGGCATGAGCCACCGCGCCTGCCTAGTTTTGTGAGGTTTGAATGAATATGAAAATACCTCTTCCCTACAAAAGTGCTGTGTTGGTGTGAGGCGTTGTTGTTGTTGTTACTGATTACCCATTTCTTTTTTTTTCTTTTCTTTTTTTTTTTTTTTTTTGAGACGGAGTCTCGCTCTGTTGTCCAGGCTGGAGTGCAGTGGCGCTGTCTCAGCTCACTGCAACCTGTGTCTCCCAGGATCAAGTGATTCTCCTGCCTCGGCCTCCTGAGAAGCTGGGATTATGGGCATGCACCACCACGTCCGGCTAATTTTTTATATTTTAGGAGAGACAGGGTTTCACCATGTTGGCCAGTATGGTCTTGATCTCCTGACCTTGTGATCTCCCACCTCTGCCTCCCAAAGTGCTGGGATTACAGGTGTGAGCCACCGTGCCCGGCCGATTACCTATTTCTTGAGTGTTATGAGCCAGGCATGTGGTTGGTACTTTGTCATGAGCTCATTTAAATTTTAACTCTCACAACCTCAAGGAAACCCTTTTGTTTTACAGGACTGAGGCCTAGAGAGGTGAAGTAGCTCGTGCATCACAGGTCACACGGCTCTGAACAAGCTGTGGTTGTTCCTCTGGTTACCTCCATCCCACCCTGAACACCTGCCCCTAGGGTGGGCTTGGGGTGGGGGCGGAGCTCTAGAGCCAGCGGCTGTGGGATAGATTGCTGTGGTCGAGGAGGACCCTGGCCCCAACCCCTGTCTGTCTGTCCCCTAGGCTTGGCTGCCCGGTGGGCTCAGGCCCAGAGCCCAGAGCAACCAGCACAATAGCGTCCAACAGCTGGAACGCCAGCAGCAGCCCCGGGGAGGCCCGGGAGGATGGGCCCGAGGGCCTGGACAAGGGGTTGGACAACGATGCTGAGGGCGTGTGGAGCCCGGACATCGAGCAGAGCTTCCAGGAGGCCCTGGCCATCTACCCGCCCTGCGGCCGGCGCAAGATCATCCTGTCGGACGAGGGCAAGATGTACGGTGCGTGCACGGGGCGCGGGCGGGACTGCGGCCCCTCCCCCTGCTCTCTGTCCCCTCACCCAACCGGTTTGGTGACGTCCGGAGGCCTGCCGCTGGCCGGGCGAGTCTGGGCGCGCAAGCCTGTGTGTCTGGATCCTCCTCCGCGCTGCTCCTCATAAACAAGACGGGCTTGCCCCCCAACCAGGGTACAGCCCACACCTCGGCACCCCCGCCTACCCCTCCTCTCCTCCCTGCTACCAGCCTGGAGGTTTCGAGGTGACTCAGTGGGCCTGAGAAACTGGGTCAGCCCAGTCTGCACCAGGCGAGGCCCGGAAGGGGGTCCCTTCCTGGAGGAGGATGTGGAAAGGCGGCCCCGTGACAGTCCCAACACAGATCCCTCCAGTGCGAGTTGTGGGAGGTTGCACGGGGACAGAGGCCTGCGTTGGGGTCGTGGGGACGTGTTCCCTCCTCAGTCCCCTTCCCCATTCCTTGTGTTTGCTGGCCCTTCTCTCTGCCATCTTGCCCACTTCCAGAAGGGAGTGTCCCCTCTTGTCCAGCCCTGAGAGGGCTCTCCCAGAGTTGCATTTTGGGGATAACTCGACCTTTCTGGGCCTGGTTTCTAGCCAGCTCCCCCATTCCTCCCTGCAGCCCTTGGCTGAGGGAGGCAGGCCCAGCCCTTCCCAGGGCGAGCCTGTGGGAAGCGATCTGGGCTGCCCCATGCCCCTTGGCCACGCCCCATTAGCCACGCCCACCCCAGCCCCAGAGCCCCACCTTGGGGGCAGGCACAGGGTCCAGGGCGCCTTCCACAGGGTGGGTACTGCCTGCCCCTACTGCTGCCTCCCAGGCTGGGGAGCCCCACAGGGTATTTTTAGACAGGGTGGAGAGAGGGGTGGAGAGGGGCTGGTGGGAAGGGAAGAGCAATGGGGCTGGTTCTGTCATTAGAGAGGAATTTGGAGAATTTGGCTGTTCTGGGAGGGCCATGGGGCTGGGGGCAGAGTGTCTGGATTTGGGGGTAACCGTGGTGTAGAACAGAGCCTCCCACCCCAAGGCTCTCACAGGATGGAGAGACACTGGGAACTGGTGACATGTGGGTGGCAGGCACAAGGACATGGCTCAGTGATACATCTTGACACAGGCTGCCAGTGTAGGAAGCACATTGGAGGCTGTGAGTACTGCCTTCCTGTCCTTCCTGGTCTTTCACCAGAGAAGGGAAGGAACTTGTCCAGGGTAAAGACAGAGCAAGGGCAGGACATCCACCTGGGGCGGGCTCCTTCACATGCCCCTACAAATCCATGCACTAAGAGCATTGGAACTGGTCACACAGGCAGAAAGCACTGCAGGGGCTAGGAGGATGGCATGCCCAGCCAGGACAGGCCCTACCCGGCCACCATCCTGCTGACCTGTACCACAGCCACCCAGTCTGTCTGCAAGGAAGCCTGTCAGGGTGCTTAGCACTGCTCGGCCCTCCTTCCTCCTACCTTGCAGCCCCTCACGCACCCTTTCCCTGAAGAGCAGCCCCTCTAGGTCCTGGAGGTGGTGGGATGAAGCTGAGACTCCCTAGTCACCTTTGCCTGCCCTGCGCATGCAGCTTGGAGTGAAGAGAGTGGGGGACAGAACAGGGTTTGGGGGAAGGTCCTGGAGTGGCTTCCCAGTGGGGTAGGATCTCCAGCCTTTGGCTCCACCCTGTGCCCACTCCTCATTTTTTCTCTCACTCCAATCTAGGTCGAAATGAGTTGATTGCACGCTATATTAAACTGAGGACGGGGAAGACTCGGACAAGAAAACAGGTAGGAAGACAGTTTATGCTGGGCCGGCCACCCACACATTTTGTCTCAGCTGTCCTGGTCAACCCCTTGCCCCTACCCTGCCTACCTCCTCAAGGCTGCCCCTGGCCTGGCCTGCCACTCTCCTGGCCTCATTATGCTCCCCTTACCCCTCGACTTCACCCCCTCCCACCCCTGAGCAGTCCATTCACCCTTCCCACTTCTCTTGGAGAGATGGACCCACTACCTGGCCTGGGGCCTTTGATTCAGGGACCACAGATAAGCCCACAGGGCTTTGTGGCTGCTACATGGTCCCTGCCCTGAGTGGCTCACTGACCAGCCAGATGGTCAGATGGACGGGTACAGAGCAGGGTGGCATGGCTGACAGAGGGTGGGTGCAGGGCACTGTGGGATAAGCAGCTAACCCTGACAGGGCTGGGGGAGGGGAGAGAGAGCTGGGAAGGCTTCCTGGAGGAGGTGACACTTGGGATGTATTTTTAAGAAGGAGTGGGAGTTAGACAGGCAGAGAAAAGGGAGAGGGCCCTTTCTTCCAGGCTGAGGAAGTTGGATATACAACTAATAATCATCGTAAACCCATACAGTGCTTCCTTTAAGTTAATTTATTTAATACTCTCAGCAACCATATTAGATAGGTACAGTAATTATCTCTTTTTTACGATGAGGAAACTGATGCATAGGGAAGTTAAGTAACTTCCTACAGGCCCCCAGTCAGGAAAGAGCCATGCCCTTGGGCAGTGTGGTGTGACAGAGGGAGGGTGGGCTAGGGGATACTCAGCAGAGACATGGGTGACAGGTTCCCCAAGGGGCAGCAGTAGGGCACGGGAGGGTATAGAGTAGGGAGTAGCAGGTGGCAGCTGCTGAGGAACACAGGCCCTCAAGCAGACTGGTCGATGGATTAGAGAGGGCTAGGTGGAGACAGGGAGGCTGGCCCTCAGGGGTACCAGGAAAGGCCTAGATCAACAGTGCCAGGGCCTGGGCTGAGGATAGCAGTGGTGGAAATGGAGAAAAATAACGATATAAGAGACAATTGTGGCTTCTGGTCCAGGGAAGGTGGCAGTGTGGTGACAGAAACATGAAGGGAATGGATTGGAGTGATGGCCCCACTGTCCTCTCTGACCACTCACTGCCCTTTGGGGTGCTGGGGAGAGAGGCCAGGCTGGAGGCAGGACCTGGAGGAATGGAGGCTAGTGCTACCCCCAGCACTCCCGGCTTCCTGGCCTGATGGGATATGGACTCACAGATCCCCCATGACAAGTCTGCCCTGTTCTACCTCCTTCTCAAAGGAAGGTTCTGAGCCTCCCCACCCAGTGTAGTGGCGGCAACGATCCTTCATTCATTGAAGCATTTATGAACCACCCTCCCTAAGCCCAGCTCATGTAGCACTGAATTTATTCATTTAGCAAATGACTGACCTGCTGCTATGTTCTAGGCACCAGGGATACCACATGGAGCCCACAGGGCCCTGTTCCCTGGAGCCCTTGGGTTCAAATACTGGTTCTTCCTGGGAGTGGGGAGCAGTGGGCTTCCCAGCCTTGCATCCTCAGCCATTGAATTTGTTAACATATTCAGACTCTTAGAACAGTTTAAGCGCTGCAGAAGAATTTGCTATTATTATTATTATGGTCATTATTATAAACAAAACTGTTCTGAGCTTAGAAGCAAACTCTCAGTGGGTCCTCCTCTACCCAGAAGGGGTGTTCATAGGAAGCTGTTAGTCAGAGTGGGAATGGGCTGAGGGTCATTAAGTAGGCCACTTTTTTTTTAATTAAAACAATTTTTTAAACGAATATAGAGATGGGGTCTCGCTGTGTTGGCCATGTTGTTCTTGAACTCTTGGCCTCAAGCAGTCCTCCCGCCTCAGCCTCCCTAAGTGCTAGGAATATAGGCAGGAACCACTGCACCCAACCAAGCTGGGTCACTTTGAACTGAGGCCAGGGTGGACTGCAGAGGTGGGGCACATCCCAGCCTCTGAATTCAGGGTCCCCCATCACACCTGCTTCTGCCCAGCATCCTGAGAGGGCTGCCCAGAAAATGAGCTTTTACAAACCAGCTGTTGACAAGCTCAGAATTTTGGAAACCGCTGCTTTTATTGTAAGGGCATAAGGTACGAGGATGGAACTCCCCCTATCTTTACTCTTTCTTAGAACTCTGGGTTTTTAGATCCCAGCGTAAGGGGACCTGTCCTCTGGTTGTGAGGACAAGCCATGTCTTTACATGTTACAAAGAGCAACCACTGACAAGGTTTTTTTTTCCTTTTAAAATTTACTTTTTGTTCTCTTCAAGGTTTTTTGTGGGGAAAAAAATTTTTTACTTTTTGCTTGTAATCCCAGTACTTTGAGAGGCCGAGGTGGGTGGGTTGTTTGGGTTAGGAGTTCGAGACCGGCCTGGCCAACATGGTGAAACCCCATCTCTACAAAAAAATACAAAAAGTTGGGCACAGTGGCATGCACTTGTAATCCCAGCTACTTGGGAGGCTGAGGCAGGAGAATTGTTAGAACCCAGCGGGCAGAGGTTGCAGTGAGCCAAGATCGTGTCACTGCACTCCAGCCTGGGCAACAGAGCAAGACTCTGTCTTTAAAAAAAAATTACTTTTGGCAAAGAAATGCAGTTTTAGGTTTTTATAGATACATACATGTAGCAATTCATGGCAAGCACAGTGCCTCCATATGGACAAAAGAGCTAAATATTAAGTTAGGACTTTCAGCTGTCACAGAGTTGGCCGTTTGGAGGCAATCTTCTGGGCTCAGGGTCCAAGTGAGTCCTGGTAGTGTAGCTTGGTGGTAGAGTAAGTAGGCTCTGGAGTGAGACCGCCCGGGTTTGAATCCTGGCTGTAGCACGAGCCGTGTGACCCTGGATAAGTGCCTTAACCTCTCCAGGTTGACAAACCTTAACCTCTTAGGATGACAAACCTCTTTGTCATCCTAAGTCAGGGATATTCATACTTTTGTTGTTGTTGTTGTTGTTTTTGAAACAGTCTCGCTCTGCTGCCCAGCCTGGAGTGCAATAGCATGATCTCAGCTCACTGCAACCTCTACCTCCACAGTTAAAGTGATTCTTCTGCCTCAGCCTCCCGAGTAACTGGAATTACAGGCACGCACCACCATACCCGGCTAATTTTTGTACTTTAGAGACAGGGTTTCACCATGTTGGTCAGGCTGGTCTTGAACTCCTGACCTCAGGTGATCCGCCTGCTTTGGCCTCCCAAAGTGCTGGGATTACAGGCGTGAGCCACCACGCCCGACCTTAGTACCTGTTTTTGTGTCGCTGTAAACATCAAGGGTCAGTGTGTGTAAATGCAGAGGACAGTAGTATCTGTGCTCAGTAATCAGAAATTTTTCTGGATAGGAGTCTGATTCCTGGGCTCAGTGAGGTAGTGTGAGGAGCACCCACCCAGGTCCTAACCAGGCGGCATCACATATATACTCACTGTCAGGCTATGATTAAAAAGAAGGGAGCTTTCTTTGTGGGGATAAAAACAACTTGCAAAGAAAGCCAATTGCCGATGCTCAAAGTGTGGAGCAGCCTCAAGGCTCTGTGCATTTCCTGGGGAAAACAGTGGCATTTGGGTTCCCTGTGCCTCTGGGTCAGATCTTTGACAAGGTCAAGGGTCTGTTGTGTCAGCTGGACACTCAGCCCAGGGCACACACATCCAGACCGTGATTAGCTCAAGTTTGCCCACAGAGACTTCAAGGAGGAGATTGCCAGAGAAGTGCAATTAAGAGCACCTACTGAGTACATATATACACACTGGCATATATTAGCCCAAGCAGAAAGAAGGTGTATTGGGGGGAAAAGTTATGGGAGCAAAGCAGTAGGAGGGCCAGGCCTGGTTTCATAGACTGGGGCTGTGGTTGGGGGTGATAGGAGGACTCAGGAAGTGGTGCTGGGGAGATCCCTGGTAGAGGATGTGGCCTTGGTGTATAAGTTAATAGCCAACAGGAGCACCATGGCCATTGCTAGCCCTTGTGGTGCCAATTAGAAAAAGATGTCTCCTCTGAGGATACCAGTGAGAAAAAGTCACCCCTTTTGAGGGGAGGACAGGGTCAGGCACAGCCTTGTACAAGGACACATAGCTGGGCTGGATTTCAGCCCTCACTGGTGCCCTTTGGCCAGTAAACAACCTGTGCACCTGTACATGGCAGCCCTGGGAGCTACGTGGCTCTTATCATGACAAGTCCAAGAAGAGAGCAGAATCGGCAGTGTCAAGAAGTGTCTGAACCGAGCACAATGGCACATGCCTAAAGTCGTAGCTACTCAGGAGGCTGTGGCATGAGGATCATTTGAGACCAGCCCAGTCAACATACACCCTGTCTCAAAAAGAAAACAGTTCCCCCCACTTACATGTAGTCCCCTAGAGATGAGGGGGCTGGGATGTCCCTTGCCCACGGCCACCCCACGGCTGTGCCTCCTCACTGTCTGTGTTTTCCTCTCTGGCGGGGCGCGGGGCGGCCCCTAGGTATCCAGCCACATACAGGTTCTAGCTCGGAAGAAGGTGCGGGAGTACCAGGTTGGCATCAAGGTATGTTGGGTGCCTGATGGGGGCCATCAGCCCTCCTGGCCCCTCACCTGCGGCGCTATCTCTGCATAGCTCAGGCCTCTCCTTGGCCCACTCTCCAGCCCCACTGTGCCTCTTTTCTGGCTGAAGCTCTGTTCCTGCCTCTCCTTCCACTCTTTCTGTTCTTTTTCTTTCTTTCTTTTTCTCTCTACAGGTCTCTAGCCACTTGCAGGTTCTAGCCAGGCGGAAATCTCGGGAGATTCAGTCCAAGCTGAAGGTATGGGGTCCCCGCCACCCAGCCTGGCCTGCCCAGCACCCTTCCAGGCTCAGGCCTGTTGCTGCTCTGTGGTTCCAGCCTGGGACAGGCAGGGGGCTGAGAAGCTGTGAGGGGGTCCGGAAAGAAACACAAGCAGCAGCAGGAAGCCCAAGGCCCTGCCAGGCTGCACAGGGCTGCAGCCCCTGGAGATTGAACAAGAGCCCCCAGCCCTATAGTGAGGGAGAAGGAGACCATCTGGGGGCCACTGAGGCCCACCTCTCCTCTTCTCTGTTTTTCTTCTTCTCCTTCCTCCTGACTGCTGCTTACCAACTGCATGGGGACTTCAGTGGGCAGGGAGGAGGCCCCGGGGTACTGGCCAGGAGGGCTATAGAGGTGGGCATGGCAGCTCCTTGCAGATCTGGCTGTCCTACAGCTGCGGATCTCAGAGTGTGGGGTTCATGACCAAGGCTCTTATCAGGGCCTCATACTGGCCATGTTCTCTTCTCCCTGCCCACAGCTGTGCAATGGACGGGGCCTCTCACTCCAGGCCCCCATGCCCAGAACCCAGGGACAGACCCAGCGGGTGCCAGCTTGTTCTCCCTCACTCCACCCTTTCCAGGGCTTGCCCCAGCTGGCAAGCACTCCCTCTAGGGGGACAGGGAGGGTCCGCTGAGCTTCCCTGGGCTCCTCGGAAGCTAAAACCCATGGGCACTGGGTGGAGGTAGGCACCCCACAGCCCTGGTGCTGCACATGTCCTCTAATCCATCTTCCCTCTTTCCCTCACAGGCCATGAACCTGGTAAGTAGCATGGCCCTCCCCAGTGGGAGGAGGGGAAAGGGTCTTAGCACCTAACACAGGATTTTCAAATGATAGATTATGAAACCAGTCTAATAGGTTGCACAAGCCTCGTTTTTGTTTTTTTTTTTTTTTTAAGTGAAATACAGCCAGGTGCAGTGGCTCACGCCTGTAATCCCAGCACTTTGGGAGGCTGAGGCGGGCGGATCACAAGGTCAAGAGATCGAGACCATCCTGGCCAACATGGTGAAACCCCCGTCTCTATTAAAAATACAAAAGTTAGCTGGGCGTAGTGGCATACATCTGTAGTCCCAGCAACTTGGGAGGCTGAGGCAGGAGAATTGCTTGAGCCTGGGAGGCAGAGGTTGCAGTGAGCAAAGATCGCGCCACTGCATGCTAGCCTGGCACCTGGCGACAGAGTGAAACTCTGTTACAAAAAAAAAAATAAGAAATACAGTGGTTCTCAAAAAACCTTAGAGTACATCAGAATTACCTGGAGGGCTTGTTAAAGCAAATTTCTGGGCCTCACCTCAGAGTTTCTGATTCAGTGGGTCTGGGCAGGGGCCGGAAAATGTACATTTCTGGTTGGGCACAGTGGCTCAGGCCTGTAATCCCAGCACTTTGGGAGGCCAAGGTGGGGAGATCCATCATGCCCAGGAGTTTGGGAGCAGCCTGGGCAATGTAGCATCTTTATAAATAAAAATTTTTAAAAAATAAAAATGTACATTTCTAACATGCTTCCAGGTGATGCTGGTGTGTTGGTCCAGGGACCATATTTGAGAACTGATGACACAGAAAATAGGAGAGTACTGGACACATTAGTAAGAGGAAATATCTTGATATATATTAGCCTTTGGAATAAAATAAATAATTTCTTACCATGGATTGTGGTCAGAGGTGAGGGGCACTTGGGGGACTGAGGCCAGGAAGATTTGAAGATTCTCCCAAGACCACATAGCAGAGCAGGGGCTGGAATCCAGGCCTGGACCTTGAGGAACACCTGTCATCCTAGTGCTTTGGACTCTGCCCAGGTTCTGTGAGGGGGCCCTAAAGCAAGCCCTGGCCCCATCCGGCCTGGCCCTGGCCTCATGCAGCACCCTCTCCCCAGGACCAGGTCTCCAAGGACAAAGCCCTTCAGAGCATGGCATCCATGTCCTCTGCCCAGATCGTCTCTGCCAGTGTCCTGCAAAACAAGTTCAGCCCACCCTCCCCTCTGCCCCAGGCCGTCTTCTCCACTTCCTCGCGGGTACATGGGTCACAGGAGGTGGGCTGGTGTCAGGGTGTGCCATAAAGGATGGGCTTTCATGGGGTTCGTGGATGCTGAGGAGCTGCTGGGCCTTGTCTCATCCCTGCAGTTCTGGAGCAGCCCCCCTCTCCTGGGACAGCAGCCTGGACCTTCTCAGGAGTGAGTATTGTGACTCATCGTCCTATGCCCTCTTCCTCCTGGCAGCCACATGGCATTTCCATCCCATTTGAGCTCCAGCAACAGCTGAGCAAAGTTTTAATTCACAAATAGAGGGATGCAGGCTGGGTGGTGGCTTACACCTATAATCAATCCTAGCACTTTGGGAGCCCAAGGTGGGAGGATTGCTTGAGGCCAGGAGTTCAAGATCACCCTGGGCAAAATGGCAAGATCTGCTCTCTCAAAAAAAAAAAAAAAAAAAAAAAAAAAATTAGCTGGGCGTGGTGGTGCGTGCCTGTGTAGTCTTAGCTACTTGGGAGGCTGAGGCAGGCTAGGATTGCTTGAGCTAAGGAGTTCCAGAGTTCCAGGCTGCAATGAGCCTTGATTGCACCATTGCCATTGCAGCCTGGGCAACAGAGGGAGAACCTGTCTCTAAAAAACAAACAAAATAGAGGGCTGGAGAGTGCAGCAGGAGAGCTGATGTGCTGGCTGCTCACCTGTGCGTTCTCTCATTAGCATGCATTCACTTGTCACCTGTCCCTTCATTTACTTTTCACTCACTTTCTGAGGCAGTCTGGCAATTAATCAGTCAGGTGGTCAAGTGTGTTGGTTCTTCAACTCTTAAAACAACTTTCATCAAAAGACACACCCTCAGCATAAGGACCAGCTTTTCAGGGTTGGGGGGTTTGAAATGCTACGTTAAACGCTCAGATCAGCTGGTAGGATTTCACTAAAGTTAAAGCTTGTGAGTTCGCTTTTCAGCCTGCTTTTCTAGGCCTCAGCAGAAAGGCTGGGTGACTTCCTATAGGGTCCTGGAAGAGGGTCTGGGCCAGGTGGAAGGTGGGGAAGAGGGAACCCTCTCACCAGACTGTGCTCTTGTCCGCAGCATCAAGCCATTTGCACAGCCAGCCTACCCCATCCAGCCGCCCCTGCCGCCAACGCTCAGCAGTAAGTTCCCCCCATGAGGCGCTCTCCCTTGGCACCTGCACCTCTGCTCAGAGGTGGGGCCTATGTGTGTTTGCTTTGGGAGGGAGAGGGTGGTGACATCTGTAGGAGATTGGGACAGGCCAGGAATAGCCCCCTTACCTTGTACAATGTTGCTTCCAGATCTCTGGCACAAAACCATAGCCAAGCTGGGTGTGGTGGCTCCCGCCTGTAATCCCAGCACTTTGGGAGGCTGAGGCAGGTGGATGACCTGAGGTCAGGAGTTCGAGACCAGCCTGGCCAACATGGTGAAACCCCGTCTCTTACTACATACAAAAAATTAGCTCGTGGTGGCACAGGGCTGTAATCCCAGCTACTTGGGAGCCTGAGGCAGAATTATTTGAACCTAGGAGGTGGAGGTTGCAGTAAGCCAAGATTGTGCCATTGCACTCCAGCCTGGGCAACAAGAGTGAAACTCTGTCTCAAGAAAAAAAAAAAAAAATAGCCAGTACACAGCCTCAAGTACATACCTCCAAAACCTACATTTATACACATCCCTGTAAGGAAATGCACTGAAATCTTAAGGCTTTCTCTCTCTAGATGGTGGGATTCTGGGTAAGTGTTCTTTCCCTTTTTTACTTCTCTGTTTTCTGTTTAAACACAGATTAATAGTCACACAGAGTTAATGTTTGTGATGTTTACTACTGGGGCCACCACATATGGTTGTGCAGGTTGTACACTATACAAGGACACCTAGTAGGGGAGTCAAAATCCAACCCATGTTCCTTGCCAAAAGGGGCACCTTTGCAGGCTGGGGTGGCTTTGTCAGTAAGCACCTGCATTCGCCCATGCGGATGAGAATCCATCTCACCTCCCAGGTTATGAGCCCCTGGCCCCGCTGCCCCCAGCTGCTGCCTCTGTGCCCGTGTGGCAGGACCGCACCATTGCCTCCTCCCGGCTGCGGCTCCTCGAGTATTCAGCCTTCATGGAGGTGCAGCGAGACCCTGACACGGTAACATGTTTGGGGGCGAGGGTGAGGCTTTGCACAGTTGTGGAGAGGCCGGCCAGGTGATCCACGACTGAAACTCAGGGTCCTGGGTTGGGGGTGTGGCCTGTTCAGGAAGCTCCAGGCAATTCTGTGCCTGTGCAGTGCCCCCTTCCCTGCCTTCGGGTCTGCATGTCTGAGTGCTCTCCTGACCCTGTCTGGGCCCTCCCCACAGTACAGCAAACACCTGTTTGTGCACATCGGCCAGACAAACCCCGCCTTCTCAGACCCACCCCTGGAGGCAGTAGATGTTCGCCAGATCTATGACAAGTTCCCCGAGAAAAAGGGGGGACTGAAGGAGCTCTATGAGAAGGGGCCCCCTAATGCCTTCTTCCTCGTCAAGTTCTGGGTGAGTCGCCCGGCCCTCTCTGCTCCGAGCGCCCTTCCCCACCCCAGAGGTGCAACATCCAGGCCCACTGCATTGACCTCTGGCCCTGTTCCATCTCCTCATGGCTTGTGGGCAGAGTGCCACAGATGGGTCCTTGGGCAGGACTCTGATGTGGTGTGGCGGGAATCCTTCTGGTCTCTGCCAGCACCTAACACCCCACCCCCATGCCCAGGCCGACCTCAACAGCACCATCCAGGAGGGCCCAGGAGCCTTCTATGGGGTCAGCTCTCAGTACAGCTCCGCTGATAGCATGACCATCAGCGTCTCCACCAAGGTGTGCTCCTTTGGCAAACAGGTGGTGGAGAAGGTGGAGGTGAGTGGGGGCTCAGGGTGGCTTGGTGGGGCTGGGAGCAGGCCAGCTAAGTGACGCCTTCTCCATGCTCTATGCAGACTGAGTACGCCAGGCTGGAGAACGGGCGCTTTGTGTACCGTATCCACCGCTCGCCCATGTGCGAGTACATGATCAACTTCATCCACAAGCTGAAGCACCTGCCTGAGAAGTACATGATGAACAGCGTGCTGGAGAACTTCACCATCCTGCAGGTATGGGGGGCAGCAGGGGTCATGGTGAGTCTCACAGGCCAGGGGCCTCAAAGTTGGGTAGCCAGACATCACTTGGATGAGAGGCACAGATCTGGAAAGAAGGGTCTGTTCGGCTCCCCGCCCCATGGCCCTGTTCCCCCTGACCTCCTGAATCTCTTACCTGCTCGCCCCCCAGGTGGTCACGAGCCGGGACTCCCAGGAGACCCTGCTTGTCATTGCTTTTGTCTTCGAAGTCTCCACCAGTGAGCATGGGGCCCAGCACCATGTCTACAAGCTCGTCAAAGACTAGGGGGCTCTCTGCACCTCCGTAAGGATGCAGGGTGAGCATCTCCTCTCCACACCTGCCTGGCACCCCTGGGGGGGTCCAGGATTGAGGACTCATCTACCTGCCAGGCCTCAGGACCAGGACCCAGGAGGCCTCCCCACCTACCCCAGCACACACACTCCCTGCCACTGTTCTGCGCTTTAATTGAGGAGAGGAGGGCTCAGCAGTGGGGCAGCCTGCCCGCAGCGCTAACCCACCATCACTCCGCTCTGCCCAGCCTCGTGTGACCTCAGAGAGGTGGGGAGGGGGAACACCTTCAGCCTCTGGCATGTGTGGCCACTGCCCCACCATAGGGGAGTGTCATGGGCAGGTGAGGGCAGGATGGAGACCGGGGGAATCAGCAAGTGGAGGCCCTGGGAAAGGAGAGTGTCAGGTCGGGGTTGGGCTCTGAGGGCAGAGGGGGCCACACTTCTTTGCCCCGTGTGTCAGGCTTGGTGCCCAGACTCCTTGCCTGGCTTGTGCGGTGCTAGACTCTGCACAGCAAGTGTGGGTCTCCAGGTTTCAGATGAAGTGCCGAGGCTCCAGGAAGTTGAGGGACCCACAGGAGAGGTGGGCAGAGCTGGAGTTCTCATCCAGGGCTGCCTGTCCCCAGAGCCCAGGTTTACACTACCTCCCTGGGGCGGGGGATGGCCACAGGGTGGGGGAGAGTAGAGCCTCCTCAAACTCCTTGAGGACAACTGGGTTAGGGGAACACCTGTTTCTACAGCAGTAGACCCTGTTAGGCACCCCATCAGCCCACAAGCCAGCCAGGGGGGGCTCCAGGAAGATGGGGCACCCCCACCACCCTCCAGATTGAGGGCAAGGTAGAGGAAGGAGTCCCAGCCTCTGGGCAGACCAGAAGCCTGAAGGGAGGGCTAGCAGAAGGCTTTTGGTTTTTCTCTTGCCCAGGGCTGGGATCTGACAAACCCTTGGTGGGCACTGCTCCCTTAGGTTCTCCACCTCAGTCTACCTGCCCGGAGCAGGAGCTCCCAGACCCAGTGCTGGGACTGAAGGTTAACCCTTCTCCTGCTGCCCCTTCTCAACACCCAGGCCCCCAGAGCCAGCCGGGCCTGACCAGCAGCCACCTGTGGGTATTTATGAGTTTCATATGAAGTACTGTGCCCCTTCCCTTCCTCATCCTGCCCCTGCCCGAGCTTCCTGAAGGTCCTCACCGTTTGCATATTGCTCAGGCCACCTCCAAACCCCACCTAGGTTTTATAATGTATATTATATATATTTTTGTGTATTTTTAAAATCCAGCTGTGATGGGTTGTATCATAAATGCGGCTTGGGGTTGGGGCAGGGGCCATCAAGGCCCAGTTCCTGCTCAAAAAAAAACAAAATTAAAGTTATGTTTGTGGGTCAGTCATACAATCCCTTGTGTGCCAGACCTTTGGATTGGAACAGCTTCAGGTGAGCTCCTCCCAGGTCCTAGTGTGTCATCACCCCCAACCCCTGCAAAGCCATCACTTGGGGGACCCCAAGCCCTACCCACACTCAGCATTTCCCTCACTCCCTCCTGCTTCGAGCTGAGCACTTGTACCTGAGGCCCTAAAAGGGAAGTGATTTGCTCAGGTTCGTACATTGACTGAGATGGAAACTCCAGGCCTCAGCTAAGCCAGCACAACAAAGATCAAGGCCTGGAGGTTATCCATTGACTCTAAGTGACTGAAGGAGGGTAAGCACTCTCCCCAGGTGACAGCTGCTGACCTACCCATGTCTGTCTGGAAAGCCACCTGTCTGCAGTAGGGACCAGTCATTATAGGGCTGAGGCAGAGATAGTTCAAGACTTTCAGTGGACATTTGCCCAAAGAGGCTGTTCCAGCCTTTTCTCCTACAGTTAAATATGGATGAACTGATTGGACTCACTCCGTCAAAGGATGAGACTGAGTATTTTGCTCAGTGGCAGGCTAGGGGTCACCCAGTTAAATTTTAATTTCAGATAAACGGATGTTTTAAGCATGTTCCATGCATTACTAAGGACAGCCTGTATTTTTATTTGCTAAATCTGGCAATCCTCTAAAATCATCTTAACAGATGGGGAAAACTTGAGACATGCATAATGTACTCCTAAGGATGCTAATCTGATCTGCCTGACTCCATGATGTGCGCCTGGTATCCCACTAGGGATCCCCAAACTTTCACCTGCTGGATGGACGGGTGGGTGCCCAGAGCCCCAGTAGGTAAGAGGGGCCCAGGAGGCAGAAATTCATTTGTTGGATCCACTGGACACCGATTACATCTATGGGCAATTAGCACACAAGAGCCTTCAGATAACCGCTTTTGCTTTATTTGCTTAAACCTAAAGTTTCCCTTTCCTTCCAATTACAAAGATCACAGGAGGTTTGGAAAATAAAAGACCAAAGAAAAATAACTTAGACGAGAGGAAGTAGCTGGCTGGACCTGTCTTGAGAACCAAAATTCACTGCTCATCCTCATTAGGTTTTGTACCTGCCTTACCAAAATACTGCTGTAACTTAAAAGCTAAAAAAAATTGGCCAGGCATGGCAGCTCACACCTGTAATCCATTACCTCACATCAGGAGTTCAAGACCAGCCTGACCAACATGGAGAAACCTGTCTCTACTAAAAATACAAAGAAAAAACTAAAAGCACAACTTGCTGAGTGAAAACCCTATGTTCTTCACAGTTCAGGGACAGGTAAAGCTTGTTTTAATGCAGCATTCCTGGCCAGGAGTGGTGGCTCACACCTATAATCCCAGCACTTTGTGAGGGAGGCCAAGGTGGGTGTATCACGAGGTCAAGAGATCGAGACCATCCTGGTCAACATGGTGAAACCCCGTCTCTACTAAAAATACAAAAATTAGCTGGGCATGGTGGTGCGTGCCTGTAATCCCAGCTACTCGGGAGGCTGAGGCAGAACTGCTTGAACCCAGGAAGCAGAGGTTGTGGTGAGCCAAGATTGTGCCATTGCACTCCAGCCTGGGTAACAAGATTGAAACTCCATCTTAAAAAAAAATGCTGCATTCCTCGCTCCTCACCAACAGTCTTGCCTACTAGCTGGGATTACAGGCATGAGCCACTGCACCTGGCCAAAATGCACTGTTTTTAAGTATCACTTATGCTTTAAAATAACCCTTCTCAGCAGGACTCGGTGCCTTATGCCTGTAATATCAGCACTTTGGGAGGCTGAGGTAGGTGGATCACGAAGTCAGGAGTTCAAGACCAGCCTGGCCAACATGGTGAAACTTATCTCTACTAAAATTTTTCAAATTGGCTGGGCATGGTGGTGTGTATCTGTAATCCCAGCTACTTACTCAGGAGGCTGAGGCAGGAGAATCCAAGAGGCAAAGGTTGCAGTGAGCAGAGATCACGCCACTGCATTCCAGTCTAGGCAACAAGAGTGAAACATCTCAAAAAATAAAGTAACCTTCTATTAAAAAACAGGGATGAACTGGGTCCCCTATTTGCCAGTCAAACGAAGCTTATTTAAGTCAAAGGTTAAAAAGCAGGTATTAGACCGGGCACGGTGGCTCACACCTCTAATCCCAGCACTTTGGGAGGCCAAGGCGGGTGGATCACGAGGTCAAGAGATCAAGACCATCCTGGTCAACAAGGTGAAACCCCGTCTCTACTTAAAATACAAAAAAATTAGTTGGGCATGGTGGTGCACGCCTGGAATCCCAGCTACTCGGGAGGCTGAGGCAGGAGAATTGCTTGAACCCAGAGGGCGGAGGTTGCGGTGAGCAGAGATTGTGCCATTGCACTCCAGCCTGGGTAACAACAGCGAAACTGTCTCAAAAAAAAAAAAAAAAAAAGGTATTTCCCACCACACCAAAAACCACCTTTCCAGTACTAGGTGCTGGAGACAAGACTGCTGCAGGGAAATGCCAAGGGAGGGGGGCTAAGCACACCTGGGGCAAGAACCTGGAAGTTTCCATGGCCTGACTCCACCTACTGCTGATTCCCCTAGAATTAACAGGACCCTGGCTGGGCATAGTGGCTCATGCCTATAGTCCCAGCACTTTGGGAAGCAGGCAGATCACAAGGTCAGGAGTTCAAGACCAGCCTGGCCAAGATGGTGAAAACCTGTCTCTACTGAAAATAAAAAAAATTAGCTGGGCATAGTGGAGGACAAAAGTAATCCCAGCTACTCAGGAGGCTGAGGCAGGGGAATTGCTTGAACTTAGGAGGCAGAGATTGCAGTGAGCCAAGATTGCTCCACTGTACTCCAGCCTGGGTTGGACTGCACTTAAGCTCAAAAAAAAAGATTACAATTTTGTACTGTTGCCATTCCTTGTTTTCCTTACCATTTACTCATTACTGACCCAAAGCACAGTATACTCAACATGGCGCCTGTTAACACGGAAATGCTGACTAAAATCCTCTTAAGTTTACACAGACCAATCCTATCAAAGCTTCAGTCCTGTTTAGCAAGCCTCCCAAGACTGCCTGATTTTGATGGCATAAAAACATCCTCTTCCCTGTAGTACCCAACTATCCATCATCAAGGTCACAAACTACAACAGCTAGCCATCAGCAGTGCCAAGGCACTCACTTGTCAATTGACAAACCACCACCCACTCTCATTCACAGACAGAGGAGATTGGTAATAGAATTTATTCAAATGTGCCTTAATATAGGCGCTGGGGCTTGCCCATGGTGCTCTTGATATATAAGGCCCGGACATTCTGCCAGTTTTTCTTGAGCAATGACACCAAGAAATTGACAGCCAGGTGAATGTTATACACAAGCTCATCATCTGTCATCTTCACGTGACCAACAGCCACAGCCAGACATAACACCTGAGGAGAGACGATCAAGTCAGGTTGGTGGAAGGATGGCAAATAGCCCATCCCTCCTCCCAGTGACCTAGTGAGCAGATACTTGGACCCAGGCCAAGGAAGACTAGGGTGAAAGTTTCAATCCTGGTTGGACTCCTACTGGCACATTTAGAGACTTGGGTAAGATCTGGACCCTGCCAGCACTTTCACCCATCGCAACCCACCAGACCCCCTCACCTTCTTCATTTGGAACTTGATCGTGGACTTCACCTCATCCACTTTGGCCACCATGTTTTCATTGTGTGTGAGCAGGGAGGGGAACTTTCCTGCCTTATTTAGGCCTGGGCCGAGGATTCGTGGAATCTGCTTGATCAGAGACTCTGAGGCCAAAAATGCATCATACTTCTTGGCTGGTAAAGAGAGGAAGCCATTGGCATTGCTTAGGTCACCTGGTCACCAAGTCACACCTCAAATGTGGCAGGCCAGAAGTGCACGTGAATCAACCATGTAAGTGACCTCCAAAGCAGCACCTCGGACTCCACCTCAGTCTTTTCCCCAGCCCAAGTGGTTTCCTGAAAGTTCTCTGGACATTCACTGGCCCCAAAACATGGTCTCAGAAGATCAGGATGACCCACAAGCCATGACATAACCACTGTACAACAGATGCTCCGGTCAACACTGCCTGGGCTCGAATTCTGCCTTCCTATTTCATAACTGTAGACCCTGGACATGTGACAACTAGGAACGTCTGCTTCCTACCTTTAAAAGCAGCCTAAATGCCACTGCCTAAACAACGCATAAAGATTCCCAAAGCATAGCTCACCAGCACCCGGCCCGTCAATTTACAATGCCTGGCCTCCCTCATCAACTGGAATCCTCATAACAAATACAAACATCAAACCACCACAAAGCTAAAACAGCAGACAGGCCAACTAAGCAACCACTGCCAATCCTTCGCTATTCTAGCCCCCTCATCATTTAAAAATCGAAGTGGCAGAAAAGCCGCCTTTCTACCACTCCCATGACCGTCTGCTCCCAACCCACATCTCGCATGCAAAACCACAGCGGCCGGACTCACCCAGCTTCTTGACCAGTTTTTTATTCTTGTTGAGTTTTTTCAGCGCCTCGATGTCCATGTGGGGGATATCCACGGCCTTGGCCTCGTCACAGTGCTGCTGGTCCCCCAGGACACATACGGAGAACTTGGGGCGAGGAGTGGACTTAAGCCTGCGTTTGGGAGAACCAACAGGTTATGCCTAGCCCTGAGTCCTGAGGTCCGGTGAAGGGTCTGGGACCGCAGCAGCCACCAAGCCTTACCCAGAGCGTCCACACTCACCAGCAGCCAGCCTGGCTTCTCAGGCTGGCCGGCGGGCTCGGCCAAGGCCTCCCCACGCCTCCCCTCATGTTTTAAGACCCAGGGTGAGGGTCCGTCCAGCCGCGCCTGCCTGGAGCAGGGGGTCTGAACTACCCTAGCACATCAATACCGACGTGCCCGCCTCCGACTCAGCGGAAGCTGCAGGGGAGGGGCAGGCACGGGAGTACTGAGCGCTGGGTGGGGTCACAACGGTGCCAACCTGACGGTGCCCGAGAAACGCTTGTCCTTCTGGGGGTCATAGTTCTTCAAACTGAT